AAAGTACAGCGTCCGATCAAGTCCAGAGATGTTCCAGAGCGGCGCTAGCGTGACCGGACGCGTCCGATCGAGTGAGACCGGACTCGGCCTAGAGTCCGATCAACGTGCGCGCTCTAACGGTCGGGACGACCAGACGCGTCCGGTTAGGACGACAGCAGCGTCCGGTCAGTAGCAGAAAGCTGGGTTTCGCCCCCAACAACTACTTTCTCTACGGGGCTTATAAATAGACCCCCCCAACCGGCCATTTGAGACGTGGACAGCTGAGGAAACATACCAAGGGTGTTGATACACCATTTTAGTGATCTCCACTTGCACAGTGCTTAGTGATTCATTAGGTGATTAGCGTAGGTGCTTTGCGAAGTGCTTAGGTTGATTAGACCACCGCTTATGCCTTTACTCTAGGTTTAGGCCTAGTGTTTAGTGAGGTTTGCACACCTCTTATCACTCGGTGATTGCGCGTACCATTGTTGTACATCGGATGGGCTTGTAGTCTTGCTAGATCACACCAACCGCGTTTGTGGTGTGGCTGCCACCGTGTACCGAAGGGAACAAAGACCGCGGTGGTTCGGCCGAAAGCTTGATAGTGAAGACAGCGGGGAGCATCTGAAAGAGGCTTGCCGAAAGGCACGTCAGAGACCCACTTGCGCGTGGGGAAGGCCCGAGGCTATCAACGGAGTTACCCGATCGGGAGCTTGGCCCTTGCGAGGGATTCCTTGCGAGGGGCTCCAACGAGGATTAGGGGGAAGCTTGCGCGCTTCTCGATACCTCGGTAAAAATACCGAAGTCGTCGACAGGAGTTTGCATCTCTACCTCATCTTTACCTTCCGCATTCACATTGCTACCTTGGTTGATTGCTTTACTTTCCTAGCTTAGTTGATAGGATTAGAATCTAGGGTGCATAACTCTTTTGCGGTAGAGATAGCAACACACCTAGCAAAACTGTAGTTGCACATCTAGATAGATTACCTTCTTACATAAGTTTTGACTAGGTGGAATTAGAGGCCATAGTTCAGAGTTAGAGTTTTAAGTTGCCTAATTCACCTCCCTCTTAGGCGTCACGGTCCCTTACAGACGGCTAAGTCGATACTTAGATGGTAGAAAATTTTAAAAAGTCCAAATAGTTTGTGGATGTTAATGAGGAAAACACAAGGTGTTATACTAATGATAATTGTTTCGTAGTATATATTGATACTTTTTTTGTAAAGACTTGATCAAAATTCAAGAAGGTGTGACATGGGACTATGCTAGAATTGCATTCTTTTCCAATCCTCTCTTGGGCGGAATGTGAGATAAAGCTGTGTCATGGTGCTGTCTGGTTTTATCCCGGGTGTGGCATCCATCGTAAAATCCAATGTCGCGGAATGTTGCCAACTAAGAGCGCAGAATGTTGCCAACCTAGAGCCTTAGACAACTTTTTTGAGCTCTGAACCAAACAACTCCATTGGGTGAGTTTGGTAGAGTTTCAGCTCCGGCAAAAACTGCTCTAGCTCTAGCTCTTCTGGTGGAGCATTTTTTTTTTTTGGCTCAGAACAGCTTCTCAAGAAGAACATTTGGTAAAATAGCATCTCCTCGTAGATAAGAATTGTGAAATGTCCATATTGCGCTTATCTTTTTTTCTTTTTTCTTCCTTTATTTTTCCTCTTGAAACATATGACTAAAACTGAAATTAGCTACCAGAAAACTAAACTAAAATTGACAAATAGAAAATGAAAACTAAAGTAAACACAATGAAAAACAAAAAACAGAAACATAAGACTGAAACTGAAAATGACAATTAAAATTTAACTAAAATTTAAAACTGAGACTAAAATGATAACAGAAACTGAAAAAAAGGAAACTCGTAACTCATTAAACTGGTAAATGAAACTCATAACTCAAGTAACTGAAACTAAAAGAACATTGTAAGCTGCATGACCTTGTATGTGGCAAGTTTAATTTCAAAGTACGTAGCAAGTTATATTTTGAAAAAGTTACAAGTTATTTGGATTACCACTATATAAAATACATAAGTAGCTACTATACACACAACATAAGTTACAATAAAATATATTTTAAAATACAGGCATTATGGGTCTTGTTTTATAGCTCTCATCACAAAAAACCATTGAATGACCTGTAATGAATAACATAAACTTGACAATCATAGGGTAAAACAAAGTAAAACCCATCATAGCTACCACTAAAATCCACAAGATGCCAACTTGGAAAATATGGACAAAAAATTGCTTATATTTCCACAATCTACCTAAATTGTCATATATTAATATACATGTAGGACCATACATACAACATAAGTTGCCACTATATATAAATATACTGTAAAATATATGCATCATAGGTGTAGTTTTGTAGATCTTATTGTAAGCAGATCGATGGTAAAAATTAAACTGAAAATGAACACTTCAGTGGAAAACTATGGTATTTTCAAAATTCTGTATAAAGCTCAAATTTCACGAGCACTGCAGATCCACCTACGCCACCGGCCCATGGAAGCTTTTCCTTTCATTTTTTTTTTATTTGGGTTGCCACTACGGCGTGCGCATGTGCATGCGAATGCGCAGGCTAGACCACCAGGCCTTTCGCCGTTAAACTTTGCGTTTTGCTATTTGTTCCATCCTCCCATCCACTACGTACACTTGCCAGGCCCCCCGTCACATCGCCGCCAGCCGTGAGGACTCGGCAATTTCTCCACGGAGGTTGGATGTCGTCCGCCCATTGTTGTTAGCTGTCACCCTAAGCGCGCATGTATATGGGCAGGCATATGGTCCGTCAATTTCTGAAAACTACTGGTGTACCGTGTTGTCTTTTGCTCCCAAGGCCTAATAATGGCAGCGGATTTCGCTAGACCTGGCCATGATGTGACACTCACGCACTCTAATGCTTCTGAGCGCGGTTCTTGAGTAGAGATAAAATCGTTGTTGATCTAGGCATCGTTTACATTGCAAGTTTTTTCATTCTCTCTATCACATTAAATCTTTGACACATATATGGAGTATTAAATGTAGATAAAAAAATAACTAATTACACAATTTGATTGTAAATTACGAGACAAATCTTTTGAGCCTAATTAGGCCATGATGAGACAATAATTATTAAATACAAACAAAAGTGCTATAGTACCAAATACTTATTCCTAACCCCTAATCTAAACAAGGCCCTGCTCAAAGAACTCGACGTAGGTCGCTGTCACGTCGCCACCCAGTTGCCCCCGCCACAATGGTCATCTACAAATCATGCACGCAACCGTGTCCAGCCACTTGCGCTATCTACATCAGCTAATGCAACTTCTTAGAATTTGGTTATGGTTGACCCACATGGGTAGAAAACAAGTATATATATTGATTGACAGCAGCGTTCGCCTCAACACGTCTAGACGGCTGTACACACGTATTTAAACACTAAATGAACAATAAGATCGCATACAGTGTTTAGGTTCTAGTCACTGGAAATGTGCATAAACACCAAACCATACATTTAACGGCTGCTTAGGTGATAAACCACGAATGTTTGTGCAGATTATATATAATAACAATGCTATGGTCCCTGCGATTTCATCCTAAAAATCCAGTGGGCATTCTCCATCGTGCCAATCCGATAGAAGGCATAATTATTAGATGCATGGGCAAGTGCAGTAATAATTCAGAATCTGACGGCTCGGTTGATTCAAACTGATAATCAAAGTTACGAACGTTTGACTTAGAACAAACCTAATATGACATGTAAAAAAAATGGATGGAGTATGTGTGAATCCGATCAGTCCGCTGCATCTGGAAAACATCGTTTGCATATTCCACCTTAGCTGCCGCAAGTGGACTTGTATTGTGTGGTCAATTATTGCCACACGCTTATAGCTAGGAAACCTAAAGAAAACCACTAGGATCGGAGAAACTTCAACTCTAACAAATCATAATAAATATTATATGATATTATTTCTGAAAATTTTATATATTCAATGGAAACGTTTTAACATATATATCAATGCAAAAATCTGGTTTCAGCTTCTTTCAAGGAAGAAGCATCAGTCCACACTTAAAATAAATACACGCCAAGAAATATATAAACTAATTACATACTCAGAAATAAACATATATATCTACACTTATAGTTTAGGTAAACAACTCTTTTTCATGAAAGTAATAGTATATACGTAATCTTTTGTTAGAGGAAATATAACATCTCGTAGGTCTCAACTTAAAATATGATCAGAAATTTGCAGCAACAAATAAGATGAAAAATTAAAAGAAAAAAATCTAGATTCATGATATCATGTGATTGCATTGACTGCAAAGAAAAAGAAATCTAGTTTGGCCATATCGCAATGATTTCTCTCTGTTGCCATAGACCCAAAAACTAGTATTGGTAGAATTAATGTAACGCTAGATAAATGTTCCACTAGATAAGTAAATGTGTTACAGACTTATAGTGTAATAACACTTCTTTTATATAAAAGAAACACATCATGTGTTGCAATAAATCAATCTATAATACATAGCCAATTGGAACACACAAAATGTGTTACCAAGAGAGTTAGTAACATTTTTTTTCAGCCTATACTAATACAAGCTGGTGTTCGATATCTTGTATTGTAGATATGAATTGATAAGTAACGCCCTATTCATTTGGCTTATAACCCGTACTTTTTCAGCTAACGAACAGTATTTTTCTCTCACAACAAATCAGCCAACAGTATTTTCAGTCATGACTTATCAGCCAAGCGAACGGAGCATTAATCACAGCTGGATAGGGTATTACCAAGTGGATAGGGTATTACCAAGTGTCTACTGTCTACATATGTATTACTATATCATTAGAAAATAGATATAATTGAGAAAAGATGACTGATTTGATTAGTCTTAGGTACATCTGTTAAGATCCTATCCCACACGTAGAATAAACTATCTCCAAATTATGTCAAACTATGGGTATATATATGCTAGCAGAAAGAGCTGTATGAGGACACCCAGACCCAGAGACAACATCCACACACATAGGTTCCGGCGATGTGGAGCGCCGTGCAGAACGTGGCACAGGTGACCGGAGTGGACGCCTTGTCGCTGATCGCGCTGATTGTGCGCACGGCAGAGACAGCGAGGCGGAACAAGAAGACATGCCGGGAGCTGGTAGAGCAGGTGAAGCAGATCGGCGACCTGCTGCGGAGCCTGGAGGAGCATCAGCCCGGCATCATGCGCCGCCCGGAGACGAGCGGCCCTCTCAGGGAGCTGCACGAGACGCTCCGTCTGGCGTGCACGGTCGTCGAGTCGTGCGGGCAAGGCGACTGGATCCACGGGCTATGTGCCGGTGGGTCGCGGGCCAGCCGCCTGAGGGACGTCCAGAGCAAGATCGCCTTCTACCTCCAGCTGTTCCCAATCGTCAGCCACCTCCACAGCACCCGCCTCCTCGTGCAAGTTATCAACAGCGCTGCTCCCACCTCTTCCGGGGTATACTTGACTATATACACATGCTTATAATCATGCAAACTCATGCACCAACCATATATAAGTCATATTATGCTATTCTAGGGTGCTGAAGAGGAAGTTCTAAGGTCGTTTCAGAATCTGTCAGATCCTCAGGATGACCAAAGGTATGTCTCTCTCTCTCTCTCTCTCTCTCTCTCTCTCTCGTCGCTAAGGCTAGTATATAGGCGAGTGTGCAAGTTTTGATGATGTTTCAATTCTTTTGGCTGTAGTAGGTTTCAGAATCTGAATTTTAGTCAGTTGAGGAATGCCACAAATAACTTCTCACTTGAGAACCAAATTGAACAAGGTCCTTTGGCCACTTTATACAAGGTAACTTTGTTCAAGAGTCTAGAACCAAATTGAACAAGGCCCTTTGGGCTCCTTATATATATATAATCATTGGACGTCTGTTTGGTTTTTCAGGGTCAACTACATGGCAATCATGTCACTATAAAAAAACATTCAGTTATTTCAAGTTCAGAGCAAAACCTACCACCAAGTATGAGTCAATATGAGCTATGTAGAAACGAAGTTCAGATTCTACCAAAGCTACAGCACAAGAACATAGTCAAACTCTTGGGATCTTGTGCGGAAAGAAGCGAGAGGATCGTGGTCTATGAGCACATGGAAAATGGGAGCCTTGAGGACGTCATATTTGGCATGCTAATCTGTCTACTAATACAGACATTCTGTATTCTTGTATGGACAATTTGTTTTTCTATGCTTTGATAACCTAATAATTAACTTGTCACCGCCGTTGCCAACATCTTGCAGTGCGCGTGGGAGCAGGGTTCACAGTTGACTGGCCTACACGCTTCCGTATAATCGAAGGGGTCGCACAGGGAGCAGTTTATCTACACAATCACTCTAGGCTACGCGTCGTCCACAGAGATTTGAAGCCAAGCAACATTTTCTTGGATTCAGATATGAACCCAAGAATATCTAATTTTGACTTGGCCAAAGTTTTGAGTCCTGGCATAGACCAAGGCACCGTGGACTGTGTTGTAGGCTCAGTGTAAGACCGACCCAAGTCTCTTTCTCAACTGAATCTTACAAACTACTGAAAACGACGCTGACATAGTTTTGGACTTTTGGTGATCATTCAGTGGATTTATTGCACCAGAGTACATGAAAAATGGTACATTCTCAGGAAAGACCGACGTGTACAGCTTTGGTGTCATGGTCCTTGAAATAATCAGTGGTAAAAGATGGACCCGGTCAATTCAGAAAACATATTACCGAGATCTTCTCACATGGGTATGTAGTTGAACAGCCTTTATATATATCATCACTCTTGAAGCATTCCTCTCTGAGAACATGTAGCTAGATAGCTTTTTTTCCTTTTCGGAATTTAAAAAAGTCACGGTAACATGCATGCTGCGTGTATATATCCTGTGTTCCCCGTCCAGGCCTTCAACAGGACAACATGCTGTTGCGGCAACAAAATGGTGCAGAGGCTGAAGGGCTTCATGCATCCAACGATGCACAACATCGCGTTCTGCGGCAGGGCGGTGCCACGGTGCCTCTCGTTGCCGACGAGGAGGAGGGTGCTGTCAAATCAGAGGGAGATCAGGAGGTGTGTCCGAGTTTCCCTGCTCTGCATCCAAGAGAAGCCCCAGCGCCGGCCGGACATGCCGGAAGTCACGAGGATGCTGAGCTCCAGGAAGAAGGCTGTGCCGTTTCCTCGCCGGCCAGGCTATGCCACAGAGAGCCCGATGTACGCTGGCGATAGAAGCACGACGACGCCTTGAGACTGCTGGCCTAGTTGATGCTTGCCTACGATTTTGGTAGCATTTGCATGCCACCCTGAGTTTACATGTCTATACAGAAAAGCAAAGTCGTTTCACTACAACATCGAGTGTTTTCAGAGATGGCCGTTTTCTGTTTTTCAGACGCGGCCGTACCCCCGTCCGTGGGACAAGGCCTGTATAGATAGAACATCAAACATAACGGGGACCGGTCCTTGCCCCTGCCTATGCAGATGATATTTGCTGAGACGGACGGTTGTGTAAATATAAGAAAAACAAACAAATACACGAGCTGAGCGTCCGCCACCGGAGATGAAACAGAGACATATCAATGTGGAACACTGATGGCCACTGATATGAACAACGGAGTCCCATTGCACCGAGTGGCAGGATGGAAAAGCCCATGCCGTCCACACCGAGGAAGCGAGCAGCAGGAGAACAACTACGCTCCTGGCGGGCTGGGGGAGTGGGCCGGGATCAAGTGTCCCTCGCTAGAGTAGGGGAGGGGGCACCCGCCCGAGTAGCTTGGGAGTCGAGCAGGGGAGAGCACCAGGTAGCCCCTGTCCTCAGAGGCCCACCATGGAGAAAGATGCGGAGAGGCATAGCAGCGATGCGCAAAGTGGGTTCCTCCGCAAGACCTCCTGGCCATCCGGCATCCGCTACCAACTACCATAGGTAGTGAGGGGAGGAGCCAGCAGATAATGGAGCCATGAAGGTGCTGGGCATGCCCAGATAATGGAACCAATTTGATTTGATACCAAATTTTCCAACAAGCCAAAACTTTTTTATATAGGTTGTCAATTTGATTTGATGCCCGCTACATAACAATGGAAAATGATGTCAATAGGATAACAGCTAGGCAAACTAAGAAAGAGAAGTGAATAGATATATCATATATACCACTACTTATTAGAACTGAAACATGGAAAGGATTGTCCACAGAGCTATTAGGCTACATAAATCAGGATATTTGATGAACGGATTGTACAGGAGGATATATAGGAGCCAGTGCATCAAGTAAATTAGGCTCGTGGTTACGGTGTTATTAACCAAGCAAAAAAAGCAAGAGCGTACCGTATAAAAGTTGGTAACAGCAGAACAACTTACTTATAATGACAATAAATCCTAATAAATTAAAGCCATTGTTTCTGAAAGTAGAACATGCATGGGAATAAATTAAAAAATGTTGATATACAACAAAATAAGTGTCTTAAGAGTTGTACAGCAGCATAATAATGGCCTGCGATTGCAGGGGCCGGCAAACCTTGATAGTTGTAATGAAATGGCATTACGACTAGAAGAATTTCAATCTGATTAGTGCAGAGTCAGCAGGGAAGAAGATAGCAGCAGAGTGAATGCGTGATGGCTATTGTGAACGAGTAAACGCGTGAACAGAACAGCCAAGATAGCAGCAGCATATCGGTACCGCATTCCATCCGTCTTCAACTCCTGCGCGATGTCCTGCATGTTTACCAGTCAGTACTCACTAGTATACATTACATGTGGAACGAAACTGTTAGCAGCAATTGGAGGATAGGAGGAAGCAATCAGGATTGGAGGGAGGAATCGGAGTTGGGGAAGGGAAGCAGAGCACGGGGACGAAGTTAAGAGGAATCTCGATAACTTGGGAAGGAGGTTCATACAATGTTTTTCCATACCCTCCGCGTTTACCACTACGCTACATATAAGCCGAACCGTCGAGCTCACGCACACGCTAGCCTCAGACTCACTCATGATGCCACTCTGGGCTGAAGAAGCGCACACTCTTGGTTTTGGGCCGAACTTGGCGATCCTTCCTTACTTGGGCCTTCTCCTTGCCTTCAAAGCTTGCCTGGACAGCGCCCGTTGCCGGTTGGTGCACAGGTAGAGTGCTGACACTCCCCCCTTCTTGCGCGCCTGGATGATCCCAGACCAGAGCGCGAGGAAACTGCTGCTGAAGATCAGCGAGCTTCTCCCAGGTTGCCAGCGATTCAGGAAGATGAGTCCACTTGATCAAACCCTGCAGAACAGAAGCTGTACCTTGGCGTAGGTAGCGCCGCTGCAGAATTCGTTCAGGAATACTCCAAACTGAAGACTCTGATGGGGGTTCAGGGGTAACAGTATGATCCGCACCCACCGCCTTTTTAAGTTGGGAAACATGAAAAACTAGATGAATGGCAGACGAGGGTGGAAGCTCCAATCGATACTCCACAGAACTGACCTTGGCAAGAATGCGATAAGGTCCAAAGAACCGGAATGCCAACTTATGATGGGAATGCTCAGCAAGTGAAGATTGAACATACGGTTGGAGCTTGAGGTAGACCCAGTCGTTAAGCTCAAACTGCCGTTCGGAGCGGTGTAGATCAACATTCTTCTTCATGCGCTGCTTGGCACGTAGCAGATGTTGACGGATCAGCTCAGTGTTCAGAGCTCGATCAGATAACCAAGAAGCCAGATTAGTGATAGAAGAGTTGTGAGCAGCCTCAATGCCGAATGCGCTAGGGGCATAGCCATACATCACTTCAAATGGAGAACAACCCACGACAGTGTGGAAACTAGTATTATACCAATACTCGGCCAAATCCAACCAGCTGCTCCACTGCTTAGGACATGCATGAGTGTAACAGCGAAAAAAGGTCTCAAGACACTGGTTGACTCGTTCGGTCTGGCCATTGGACTGTGGGTGGTAAGTAGTAGACATGCGCAGGTCCACTTTGGCCAGCTTGAAGAGTTCCTGCCAAAACTTGCTCGTGAAGATGCGGTCTTTGTTCGACACAATGACTTGTGGCAGGACATGTAGCTTGAAGACATTGGAGAAGAAAAGCTTGGCCAAAGAACTTGCAGTGAACGGATGCTTCAAGCCAATGAAGTGGGCATACTTAGAAAAGATGTCAACCACGACCAGAATGCAGTTAACAGACCCCGACATTGGCAACCCTTCAATGAAATCAATGGAAATGATCCGCCAAGCACGATCTAGAACTAGGAGGGGTTGAAGAAGACCTGGTAACTTAGAACGGTCAGGCTTGGCCTGCTGGCACACCTGATAGGCAGAGACAAAATCGTGCACTGCTTTGTTCATACCAGTCCAGGCAAAGTATTGCTTCAGTCGGCGGAGAGTAACCGGAATACCAGAATGCCCCCCATAGCATTGGAATGCAACTCAGAGATCAACTGCCGCTGAATTTCAGTGTTGGCACCCACCCATAAGCGAGATTTATACCTCAGAAGACCGTTGAGGAATGTGAAGTGGGGCACCGATTGCTCATCTGCAGTCAGACGTGTGATGATAGACTGGGCATGCTCATCCTCAATATAGGACTTGGTCACCTCAGATAACCAGTGCGGTTCAGCTACCGAAATAGCAGCACAGGAGCCGACTGGGTACCGTGAGAGAGCGTCAGCAGCTCGATTCTTAGCCCCTTGCCTGTAGACAATCTTGTAAGATAAGCCCAATAGCTTAGAAAATACCTTCTGCTGCCAAGGGGTATGGAGTCGTTGTTCAGTCAGCTGGCTCAGACTTTTTTTATCAGTCAAGATATGAAACTCCCCATACTGCAGATAGGCATGCCACTGATCCAGCGCCAATAGAATAGCCATATATTCTTTTTCGTATGTCGACAACCCCTGAGACCGTGGGCCTAATGCCTTACTGAGAAATGCTAATGGATGTCCCCTTGCATCAGTACAGCGCCAATGCCAATGCCGCTGGCGTCAGTCTCCACACAGAATGGTTTCGTGAAGTCTGGTAGAGCCAGAACCGGTGCTGAGGTAAGAGCATCTTTCAGTGCCTGAAAGGAGTTAGGTTGTGGTTCGGTCCAATGAAAGGGAACACCCTTTTTGAGTAATGCGGTCAACGGCTTGGCAATGATCGCAAAGTGCCGGACGAAACGCCTGTAGTAGCCGGCAAGCCCCAAAAAACTGCGCAGATCTTTGACAGACAGAGGCACTGGCCATTGCTGAACTGCGATGATCTTTTCGGGATCAGTAGCCACACCGGCTTCAGAGATGACATGGCCTAGATAACGGAGTTGTCGCTGCAAGAAAGAGCACTTAGACATCTTGACCTGCCATTTGTCACGGCAGAGGAGCTCCAACACCAAGCGTAAGTGGACGAGATGTTCTTCACGAGACTTGCTGAAAATGAGGATGTCATCAAAGAAAACTAGAACACATTTGTGAAGGAGAGGATGTAATGTGGTATTCATGGCCTTAAGAAAAGTGGATGGAGCTCCAGATAACCCAAAAGCCATCACCCGGAACTCGTATTGCCCAGAATGGGTCTGAAACGCCGTCTTGGGTTCTTCGTCAGGGCGCAGACGTATCTGATGGTAGCCGGCAGTCAGGTCCAGAGAAGAAAACCAGGAGGCCCCTTCTAACTCGTCCAGTAACTCCTCAATAACCGGAACATGATACTTGTACTTAGCTGTTATGGCGTTCAGCTGACGGAAATCAACACAGAACCGAAATGATCCGTCTTTCTTTTTGACCAAGAGCACTGCAGACAAAAAAGGACTGCTGCTTGGCTGGATGAGGCCTGAATTCAGCATCTCTGAAACTTGACGCTCAATTTCCGTCTTGACGGCCGAGGGGTAACGATAAGGCCGAACCTGCACTGGAGCAGCACCAGCAACGAGAGGAATCTTGTGGTCACAGTGGCGTGCTGCTGGGTAGCCTTGTGGTGGGTCAAAGACATCTTGGAACTCAGGCAATAAAGCTACTAATTCAGGCGGAGAAGATGATGAGCTGCCTTCTAAAGCTTCTTCCTTCACTGCAGTGATTTGTAAAACTGCACCCACTGGAAGAGAGTCCAACTGGCCCTGCAAATGCATCTGAGTACCTTCATATGTTATAGTCATCCACTTGTACCTCCAATCAATCTCCATGGGACTATGCGCCGTGAGCCAATCCATGCCCACAATGAGATCATACTGTGATAGAGGAAGGACCTTGGCCACGGAAACAAAAGAGCACTGCTGTACTGACCACTGCAATTTCTTGAATTCAGTATTACACAACATCTG